GCACGCGGCCGGAATGTGGAAAAAGCTCTTTGTAAGGAAACGCTTGGTACGCAGGCTAGAGGTTTTTCGAGTTTGGGTTAGATTTTGGTTTAGAGTTTTGAGTGTTTTGCAAAGTGTCGACTTAGTAAACACAAGTTACAAAACAGAGAGTTACAAGGAAAAAAAACTGATAGGATTTTCCGTCTGAAATAAACAAACTGAACGAAAAAGAGCTGAACTGGTCGAAGAATGTTCTGTGATACAGAAGGAAAGTTATAAACTATTCACTAACAACTGACACCGACTGTTTTTGTGTATACCAAACTGGTAGGATCAAATACCCGCAATCCATTTTGCTACACACTAACCCGAGGTTTGAGTAGTAGCCGATCAGACCCTGTCTATTGGTTTGGTACATAGTTATTGGTTTTATGTCAATGTTAATATTGTGGTGGTATTTGCTGTAGGTTTTCCTTCACCCTCCTATCTTTCTCAGGTTTGTTCGATTTAGAGGTAACGGATTTGCTAGCTCAGGGTTCTCAAAACGCTGAGCAATGTTTACTAAAGTTATAATTACAAGAGAGGGAAAGCGAGAGAGAGAAAAATATTGCCATAATACCCAAGTGTATACTGATATCGTGCAAATTTGGAACTCTTCAGTGACTAGCCAGGTCAGTTGACGAAGCTTAAAGATGTTCCGTAAAAGAACGGATCCTTCTTACGCATGCAATTTGGAGTTAACGCGCCAACGTGACTTCCCTCGAGTCAAAATGTACTAGGTGTTTGGGGATATCGTTGTGGTTTTGTACCTGTAAGCCTGACTGAATATGTTTTGGAAAATGAACTGTTGAAGGTCAAAATTCCTATCACGTAAACTTCCTTATTCTCCTATACCCGCGGTTTAAATGTTGCGAAAAGCTTTTAAATCTGTTAGGTTTTCAATTGTCATGAGGAGATCTTTCGAGACAATCGCGACGGCAACAATGTCCTATTTGGCGTTAAAATAAAGCTACTTCTTCGTACTACTTATGTGTAAATATGAAAAAAAAATTACTCTTTGTCAACATGTTTCGAAACTTTGGAACATTTTGTTTCGGATAATCAAGTCATGGACGCGCAGTTTTTTCCCTTTTTTTCTCAAAGATTCCATAATGGGGTAGGATTTGATAGAGCAATGGTTTCAAAATCACTGCTGGCGTATCGTTTCTGAAGCATATACTAGAGTTGCACGTATATGACAAAGAGGAGGCAATTGTTCACAAACATAATTCACGGTTTTATCATTAACGGATTCAAGTCATGGACGGTGAAACGGTACTAAAGATTAATTAATGTGGAAAAGTGATTACTGAACTTGAAGTACAACTACTTAAAGGCTGACCACANATTAACGGGGTGGCCGCATTAACAGAGTTTTCTCAAAAGAAAATGTATCGGCATTTCGCCGGGACAAAAAAAGTGGCCGTAATAACGAGGTGATCGTATTAACGGGGTGACCATGAGGCGGGGTTCCACTGTATGGGCAAAATGTTTTTAAAATATCATGAGATACAATCTAAGATAATTGCACGTTAAAAAAACGGTAATCATATGTAGAATGAATACATAAGATACTAAAGGTAATGCATAAGGAATACATAAGGTACTAAAGCTTAATTAATGTGGAAAAGTGGTTACTGAACTTGAAGTACAACTACTTAAAGGCTGACCACAACATATACAACTAAAGTTCACGCTGTATCTCTGGACATGGTATTGTGAGGGCGCAGAGCTGTGTGGACAAACAGAGTTTATTGTTAATAATTGACTTATGCATGGGTCTTCTTCACTTCATTTCTTTACGTATTTAATCCAAGTCACACTCATTGCCAAATAAATGTGTTCCGAATATTAATTTCTATACCAGAACCTGACGGTTTTCCACAAAATGTGCGTGGACAGAACAGCAGTTCAACCAGCATCTCAGTCACGTGGGATGAAGTTCCAGCTGATGAACAGAATGGTATCATCACGGGTTACAACATTACTTACCAGTCACAAACAGAGAATGACAATGGAAATGTTCAAGTAAATGGCTCTGTTCGTCAAACGGAATTGACAAATCTGAAGGAGTACGTTAACTACAATATCACAGTGTTTGCATCTACTGTGAAAGGAGATGGACCAGCCAGTGACCCTGTTATTGTTGTTAGAACAGACCAGGATAGTAAGTAGAATATTCACCAAGCGTTTCTAATGGGTCTTAATATTATTTTTCACGTCGTCGCTCGTTTTATGGTGCGTTTGATTGACCTTATTCCGGAATGGAAATAAGTGACTCGGAATGTATTGCAATTTTCACCGTCGCCAGAACTTATGGAGAACCCCTCAAAAAGTATCGTTAAAATCGACCGAAATCAGTTGTAAGCATTTATTTCTATAGATCGATCGACGGAAACCGATAACGGATATGGACGAACGGTTTTTCAACAGCGAATTTTATCAACTGCCCTCCCCGTTTTCTCTGCACGTTTTACTTTCATCCGCCATTTCTATTTCTTGTCTTGCGAAAGGTCAATACGCGAAGAGGCAGTGACGTCATTATTTTGCTTTACTCCAAGGTTTACTGGTTTTTTTAGGTTTTTTGTCTAAATCATTTTTCACTCACGCGTCGGGTTATTATTCCAAGTATTGCGCTACCTTGGGAAGAATGCTTGGAATGCATTTCACTTGACGCTTTCACCGTTAAGCGCTATTAAGCTTTAATCCCTCAGTTTTCGGGTTAACCCGTAATGCTACCCGTAGGAGCAACAAGTTCTGTGCTCACAACGAATCGGCTGAATCGCACATAAAGGTCACAACCTACAAGCTTTCTCTAAATTGGCAAAACACAGCTATGTCATTCTCCAGGCTTCCACTAAAGGTACATTGCAATCAAACAAAAAAAAAATGTGACAACCGCAAGCGTAACTGCTATTCTAACCGATAAATTGAAATGAGACATGCTGTTCTGTACCAAACAACAGCAAAGATGTTAAAAGATACAGATCTAAAAATGCAGTTTCTATCCCTGCTAATTGCGGCATCTCCGTGTTGCTGGATGAGAGTGAGTGAGTTTACATGAGCTCAAGATATGAGGGAAGCTTTCAGGTTAGAGACCATCCGGGCCATTCCTGCTGTACCTCATTAACCAAAGTCCAGGACACTTTTTAGGCAAATCTACAATCGTGCACAGTGTTTCATTGTCTAGGCTTTACTCTTTACGTCACCTAATTGAATTGACCATGAAAGTCTAGGAGTAAGCGGTACAGGAACTATGCAAGGAGTTATTTCAAAAATTTAAGGTGGCTCTGAACCCCATGTACAGAATGTTTTTAAACTTTGCCAAAAGTTGCGTCTTATCATGCTTATCAGAAGTTTATAATATAAAAAAAATTCACACGTTCTCCACTGAAGAGTTATCAAGTGTTATAATGACTGCATGAACCTGCAAGAAGAAACCGCTATACCAACCAGAAGAAACGTATACTACAATACAAATTACTTACTATCTTGGTCTGTTCTAACAACAATTGGATCACTGGCTGGTCCATCTCCTTTCACAGTAGATGCAAACACTGTGATATTGTAGTTGACGTACTCCTTTATATTTGTCAATTCCGTCTGACGAACAGAGCCATTTACTTGAACATTTCCATTGTCATTCTCTGTTTGTGACTTGTAAGTAATGGTGTAACCCGTAATGATACCATTCTGTTGATCAGCTGGAACTTCATCCCATATGACTAAGATGCTGGTTGAGCTGCTGTTCTGTCCTTGTGCATTTTGTGGAGGACCAAAAGGTTCTGATATAGAAGTTAAAAGTTTAGTTATATTGTAACGAATGTGGCTGGGCCTTAGTGCCTAGTTACACAATGCTGACTACCTGTTTGTTTATTTTACATTTGTCATACATGTATATCTTTTCAACCTTAGTTTCGTTGTGTATCGTGAACATATACCATGACTAACAAATAATGCATTGTGTATATAACTGCTATTTGCCGGCCGGGAGGTCCGTATTGGAAAAAACTGTGCGCGAGGTCTTGAGTATGCGGCGTCGCGCCTTACTCAGTGTTTCCCAATAGGGAATGAGCAAGGCCGACAAATAACGTCTTCGTGGTTATTTCTTATCCACGATATTGCTTTGAAAGAAACATTCGTGTTGAGTTTTAATTAAAGCAGTTCAGGTAAAATCTGGCGTACGCGCGTGTTAGACATTCCGGGCACAAAAAGCGATAAAAAAGCTTGAAAAGTTGCCAAAGTGTTGAATGCTTCCACTTTACGTTGCTCTGCAGTGTAACAAAAAGCTTCAAAAGTTGCCAAAGTTGGCTATTTAGGAGTGATGCATACTCGGGTCCGGATAGGAAAATGTGCACCACTAGAGCGCACACGATAGGTCAATCGGATTCAAGGATTTAGGATTCCGGACCGCTGAGAAGCTGGAGGAAAAAAATAAAAAGAGAAAACGTACTGTACCAGAACGACAACCTGAAGGTTATTACTTACAACATCAGATAGAATCTGTGTTTTTCCAGATTAATACAAACTATGTCATATTGACATATCCATTTTTTTTGACATTCAATGTCATATTGTCTCAATATGACATAGTTGGGCGCAATTTTCCAAGTGTGGCGCATTTTTTGACATTCTATGTCATACTGTCTCAATATGACAGAATTCCTTTGGGATGCTCATTAAATCTCAAAACAAATGAAGTACAAACAACAACTACCGAGCTGTGTTCTCAAGACGTGCGCAAATTTTCATTAAAACTGAATAACAAACATCTCTAGCGTTCTACAATGTGGTCAGTTACTTAAACCTATAAAAAACTTTAACATGTCACTTCGTTTTACCAGAGTCCCGAAGTCTCTTAGTGAAATGGCATGAGTCAAAAATTACCATAACGACCAAAAGGAGAGCTTGATAGGAAACTCTATTAACTACGGAATTACCAAAACATACACCAAAAATTCGCGATAAGAAATATTACTTACTATCCTGGTCTGTTCTAACAACAATTGGATCACTGGCTGGTCCATCTCCTTTCTCAGTAGATGCAAGCACTGTGATATTGTAGTTGACATATTCGTTTAGATTTGTCAGTTCTGTCTGACGAACAGAGCCATTTACTTGAACATTTCCATTGTCATTCTCTGTTTGTGAGTGATAAGTAATGGCGTAACCCGTGATGATACCATTCTGTTGTTCAGCCGGAACTTCATCCCACATGACTAAGATGCTTGTTGAGCTGCTGTTCTGTCCTCTCACATTTTGTGGAGCACCATCAGGTTCTGACGTAAAAAAATGTAAAACCAAGTTTACTAAAGGCTTAATGACCCTTGATAACTGTCGTTATTTACTTTACGAAGATACTTCAGCCTATTCACTTTCTCTGCAAATTAAGTTAATTTGCAAAGAAAGTGAGTAGGCTGAAGTATCTCTGTAAAGTAAATAACGATGGTTATGAAGGGTCAGTAAGCCTTTTCGACGTCACTTACTTGAGAAAAGTACATGAATCAAGGCTATCAGTAAGAAAACTGAGAGGTAAAGGTAACATCAATGGTGGGTAAGGTGCATGTAAAAGAGACTAGCACTACTGAAATTTCCTTTTGCGAATAGATTGACATTTAAAATGCTTTAAGCTTGAGAAAGCAGCCGCCTTGTGTCATTTTCTTGTTACATGTAAGTGACCATTTCTGAAATTTACACCAAGCATCTCTTACAGGCTTAAAAGGGGAAGGTGCGCACTCCGGCCAAAATGACTAACATTGCTAGAGCTTAAGGACGGTGCCTACTAAATACAAAGGTTTTTGCGTCAGATTTGGACCACGCAGAAAAAGTAGATCTTTACAAGGGCTATTGGAATCCACAAAGAAATATTAGGGTAGGCGGGCATTTTTTCGCGATAATTAGCCTTGGATCTCAACAAAAATGCTGACATCAGCATTTTTCTGAAAAAAGAAGGAAAGGATATTTCTTCACAGATTTCCTTAGAATTCACCTTCACATACAGAAAAGCGAACACATTCACATGGTAAATGGTGACATAAAAACCATTTTTGGTATGTTTTTAATAACAAAATTGTTGCTAAAGCGCTTTTAGTCCCTCTGACAGCCTTCCTCTGGTTCAGCTAAAATATAGTTTAAATACCTTTTGCCCACATCCAGAAACTAATAACTTCCATTTCATAACATAAAATGTAGGGGTAACCATGTGTTTTTTTTAAGTTATTGATCTTTTATGGAAACTTTTACGGTGCCCGTTATATTTTATCCTGTCACCTCCCCAGTAAGCAAAACATTTGCGTATCTCGCACTTGTTTAATACTACACTCTATTACTTATTACAAAAACTTAATTTACTTACATCACCATTATCACTACTTACAAATTACAAATTACAGTACCAGTCAACATTGGGTACAACACTAATAATACACATGAAAAAATTACTTGATTCTGATTGGCTAAGAGCAGTGCAGTTCAAGTGTAACACTAGTGCAAAAAGTGTAACATCAGTGCAAAAAGTGTAACACCAGTGCCAATTACACATCGAAATTCTGGATTATGATTGACTGAAAGACAATAGGAACTTTTCTAAGAAAATGATATCACGTAAAATGATGACGAAAATTTTGTGTTGAAACTTTGAAAAAAGTTTTCTCGAAGGAGAAAAAATGGCTTCAAGAAAGATCTTCCGGCACCTCCTCCGCGCGAATTTTTTCAGGTTTATATTATTAAGTAATCATACGGTTTTTCTCGTTCAGTTTTGAGTTAATTTGCACTTGTGAGTTTTTCAAAAAGCTGAAATTACACACGCCGAAGCGGCTTGTGCAATTTCAGCTTTTTGAAAAACTCACTCGTGCATATCAATTCCAAATTGAACTCGAAACCGTATGATTACCTATACTAACAATATAACAACCTTTTTAACAGGAGTTCATCCAAAATAAAAATGATATTACTAATAGGGACAAAAATAATAATAATAATAATAATAATAATAATAATAATAATGTAGCCACGAGAGTTAAATTTTTCCGTTTTTGGTCGCCTTTTCTTTTTTGTTTTGTCTTTGTCGTTAAAGGTTAACTTTTTGCGTACCTTTTTTGTGCAGTTTTAAATGCAAATTAGTTTTTTCACGTTGTGTTATGTAATCGTCTATTGTTTATCACGTAACCTCGTTAAGTTTATTCTTTTAGTTCAAAATTCCGTT